GTGATAGCAAAACAGCAGGATGTGGTTTGCCCAGATCCTCTCCCTTGGGCAGCTGCCAGAGTGATGTTAATTCATAAGACACCTGCTCTGTGCCCCTGCCCCAGCCTCAGTTGGAGCCTAGAGTGTGGCCTCTTTTCTGCCATTCTGTCTAGTTTGTGTTTGACCAGAGCAACAGCCCACCCTCTTGAGGCAGCCGTCCGATGAGCCGTGGGTCCCAGCTGTGGGCCCCTGGCCAGGGTTGAGAAGGGAAGGACTTAGCCAGGGTGTTCTGCTACAAAATGCCATCACAGTAGATGCCCCCCCCCCACACCCATAGCTGACCCTTTCGTGGGTGCCAGGCTGTGCGGTATCCTCCCGGGGCAGGTTGTGGGTCTGCGGTGTCTCCCTTCATTTGAGTGTACCCACAAGCCAGCGGTCACATGTGTATGCATGTGCCATGACTCACACATCATCCCAGCAGCTGGGGGGGCAGGGTTCATGGTGAATGTCAGTGGCAGACAGTGGGTGGCACAGAGCAGTGCTGTGTGAAGGGTGCTGGGAGAGTTCCCAGAAGCCACTGGGGAGGTCCTGACCTCAAATCAACGTGTGCCCTAGGCCTCGTGTGGGAGAAAAGTATACCCAGTGGTGGGGGGAGGGCACAGCTGTAAGTCATTTCTGGGTGACTTGATGGGAAGGGGAGACCAAATCACCAAGTGCTTCCAACATCCCCTCTTCAAATAGCCTCCACACCTGGTTCATTTGTTCCTCAGACCCATCCCTGCCCTGCCCTTTCCTCCTCCCCCAGCTGTAATTCCCACTTCACAGATGGGGGAAACTGAGGTTTAGAGGTAAGTGTCCAGCCCAAGGCCTCAGATACCATGTCACTGGAGCCCCAGCGCAGGCCTCTGGACTCCAGGTCTGGGAGGGATGGTCTGCCACAACTCCAATTCCTTCACCTTCTCCTCCCCACTCCTGGGAACCCACACAGGGAACCCCTCTCCTGAGGCCCCTCACCAGGCCAGAAGGTCAAACTCCCCAGTATTCACTGTAGATAGAGCCTTCCAGCAGCAGGCAGCATCCCCACCCCTCCATCCCTCCACTCTGCCTTGACCTTTGTGAACCTGCACTGTACTTTTAGCTTCCGATGGTTGCATGGCCAGGCCTGGGATGCCTGGTAAAACTTCACTTATCCTGCAATGAAACCTAATGGCTCTCCCTGCAGACTGTCGGCGCTCCCCCAGCTCCTCTGCGATCCCACAGCATTTTGCTGGCGCCTCCCTATACCTGTTTGGCTCTCACCTGGGAGCTCCTCTAGGAACTGGCGGGTGCCCCTGATGAATGAATGACCCTGTCTCTCCCGCCCGGCGGGACACGCTTAAGGCGGTCTCTCCTCCGTCGCCGCCCCCCCCCCCCCCCGCACATGCCTGCCGAGGGTGCGGGGTGGGGGAATGGCCACGACAGGTGCACCCCAGGGCGCCGCTGCCCTGCCCGCTGCCCTGCCTGCCGCCCGGTCCCTCACGGGCTGCTGGCGCCTCTTCGCCCCGGTTACCGCTAGTGGCTGCTGTCGCTCAGTAGAGCCCAAGGAGACCGAGGCCAGAGCGTCCACCGCGCAAGATGGTGGCTCCCGAGTCTCCGTGAGTGTGTGCGGCAGGCACGTTGCCCCGGCCGGGCGGGGCGCCCCCTCCCGGAGCTTCCGGCCAGGGGGGCGGGCGATGGGTGGGGGCTCTGCGGGCGGGGCAGCACCGCGGGGGGAGGCGGGAGCCTCCCGGACCTTGGAGGGTGCCCCCACCACGCGCCCCCCAGAGGAAGTTCCCCAGCCCTCTGTGTCCTGGTCCCGGTGGAGCAGGGGGTCCCCACCTCACCCATCCTCCACCGCGGAGCGTGGATTCCCCCTAGGGGCTCCAGAAGGAAAAGGGCCGAAAGGGGCCAGGGGAGGAGGCTGAGGACGGTCATCCTGGGGCCCCATACGTGCTGTGTTTGAGGCTGACCAGCCGGGGTGGAGTGGGGACCACAGACCAATACACAGTCACCCCAGGGGCCCCACAAGCTGTGGCGGCTCATGTCCGGGTGGCCAGGGTGCAGAGAGGTGTGAGGGACCTGGGTCTGACAGGTGGACCGCCCTGGTCAACCTTGGTCACAGAGTCACGTTTTATTTACACCCCAAGCCATCCAGGCTGTTCCCTCAGGTGGAGGTGTAGGAATGTCAATGGTTTTGGCTGGGTGGTTTTAGAGCAGGGTGGTCCAATAGAACTTTCTGGGATGAAGTAAATGGTCTCTCTCTGGGCCATTTCATACAATAGCTGGTAGCCACATGTGGCTATCAAGAACTGGAAATGTGGCCAGTGAGACTGAGGAATTCAAAAATGTTTTTCTAATCCTGATTAATTACAAACAGCCACATGTGGTTATTCGCTCCCATATCTGACAGTGCAGTTTCAGAGTCCATCTTCCCATGCATGCTCCCTACCTACTCTTTTATTCTTTTATCGGAAACATCCTAGGGCCCATAGTAATTTTATTCATCTGCAGAACGGGGCAAGATAGCCAGTTTCTAGGTATACAGAAAGGAGCTGACAAACTTTCAAAGGGTACCGCGTTGGACTTGCTCCTCCTTCCCATTTGAAGATCCTTTGGGTGGTGGGCTACAAAGGGTCGCAGCATCATGGGATCTTGGGAGGAAAGGAGGTCAAAGGCAGCTGTTTTAGCCATCCAACAGGTGCCCAAGGCCCCACTCCATTGTTTTCTCTGCCTGAAAGCTGGTGGTTCCTTATTCACTCACTCCCCAAATCTTGTGGAGCTGGGTGCCAGGCAACGTTCCCTTCTATGGGGTTCAGATGTGAACAAGTAGTAAACTTTCCTGCCCTCAGGAAGCTTGCATTCTCGAGAGAGAAGAAAAAGAAGGAGGAGAAAGCAAGCGAGCACCATGCAATAGAAATGCAGAGAAAATAAGCAAATTTGTAAACTGTGAGTAGTACAGTCGAGGAAGCTGACAGGAAGTAGTGACAGAAAAGAAAGGGACCTCCTGGGAAGGAATAGAGAAGTCTCTTAGAAGAGGGGGGAAGTGAAATAGGCAAAGTATTGAGAGGAGGTGGAGACATTATGGAAGAAGGTACAGCATGTGCAAAGGCCCTGGGGACAGGAACCTCACATTCTAGAGGAACTGAGGGAAGGCTGATGTAGCTGGGAGGGGAGAGAGGCACAGGTGACACCAGAGAGGTCAGCAGTGCCTGGGCATTTGGCAGACCTTGAAAGGGATCCTGGCACTAGCCTCAGAGAACAAGCAGTCACAGAGGGGTTTTAAGCAGTATGTTTTCAAAAGCCCACTCCAGCTGCTATCAGTCCAGATGGCTCAGAGAAGCATAAGAGTGGAAACCCAGAGTGCCATCAGGAAGTGACTGCTGTAGTCCAGGCAAGTCCAGGTGCCCTGGATGAGGCCCGTGGCGGCAGCATGGAGAGAAGAGACAAGTTACAGGCAGATTTTGGAGGGGGAACCGACAGCACCTGTGGGTAGACAAGGTCCAGGATGTGGAAGAGAGCAGGGGCTGGAGGGGCATCATTCTGGCCAGAGTACTTGGGTAGGAGAGTGGGTGTTTCCTGAGCTGGGGACAACTATGAGCATATCTGCACTGACAGATCGACAGTTCCATCTAGACAAGCCAGGAAAGTAGCTGGATGGAGAGGTGTGGCACCCAGAGGAGTGGCTCGGGCTGGGGTGGTCTATTTCAGGGTGACCAGCAGACATGTTTCTGAATTTTTGGGACAGTTTTAGGTTAGGAAGAGGAGGAGGAGATGACTTCAGAGGTGGAGGGGTGCTGATGGGGGAAAGGAAAACCGGGGTACATAGGGTCTTGGAAGCCAGGAGAAATGCTTGCTTCAAGGAGTGTGGGATGAGAACTCAGTGCCACTGAGTGTCTAAGAAAAGAGGACTGATGAGTTCCACTGCACTGAGCAATAGGAAGCACCTTCTCTTGAACTGAATAGGCTGCCCCTGGAATTCTGTTCATCTGCCCTTGTTTGACTTATCCACCGAGTGCTAGGTTCCATGAGGGGTACTGGGCACATCAGGAGGTAAAGACAGTCACTGTTTTCTCAGAGCCCAGTCATCTAACCAATAGCCTTAGAAACAGGAAGTTCTTTCTCAGTCCTTCCATTCTCTTAACAAATTTTGCTCAAGGGTATCTGCATGCCGAGCCCTCTACCAGGGCGGGGGGAGGGGTTAGGGATCCCAAAATGAACAGATATAATCTTGGCCTTCTAGGAACCAAGTGCAGAGATAGAGAACCCCTGAGTTTACCATATTGCATTACCAAAACCCACACCGAGGGAATTACGGGAGGCTAGAAGACAGGCACTAGCCCCTGCTGGGGGATCCTCCGGGGGCTGAGAGGATGCAGAGCTGCTCTTCAGGAATGCATGGGAATTAGGGAGGAGGGATAGGAAATTCCAGGCACAGAGGATGAAAGCTGGAGCAGAGTAACAGCTGGGCGGGTGCGGGGGAATGGTGAGCCTTTGGAGCTGGCTGAGCAGCCAGGAGCAGCGGGAGGTTGGGGAGGACCTGGCTCGTGGGGAGGTGTGTAGGTTCTGGCAACCACTTAGAATGGCAGTGAAAAGGGGGAAGCAAAGGAGTGACCTGCGTGTGAGCTCGCTTTCTGGATGCTGAGCAAGGGATGAATTTGGGGGCGTGACTGCCGAGGTGGAGGCAGGTGCCTAATCCAAGTGAGACAGTGCAGGCCAGAGTCTCAGTGTGGCCTTTGGGGTCAAGTGGATGTAGAGTCTTTTTCTTTCTTTCTTCTTTTTTTTTTTTTTAAGATTTTATTTTTTTATCAGAGAGAGAGAGAGAGACTGAGCATGAGTGGGGGGGTAGGGAGCAGAGGGAGAGGGAGAAGCTGACTCCTCACTGAGCAGGGAGCCCAATATGAGGCTCGATCCCAGGACCCTGGGATCATGACCTGAGCCAAAGGCAGATGCTTAACCAACGGAGCCACTCAGGCACCCCTGGACGTAGATCTAACTCTGCCTTGGCCCCTTTCTGCTTATGGAACCTTGGGTAAGTCACTTAAGGTCCTCCAGCCTTGGTTTCCTCCTCTCCAAAATGAGGAGGGTACCACCCTCAGAGTACTTGCAACAGCGATCTTGGTCTTCTCCTGGAGTTACTGCAAAGTCCTTAGCACAAGGCTGGTGCAGTTCATACTTGGCAAAGGGTAGATACTACTGTGGCCCCAAGTAGGCATCTAGGGAATGGGGTTGAGGGATAATAAGGAGGTAGAGCTGGCTGGTTTTGGCCATTGGCTGGACATAGCCTCTGGTCCTGAATGGCTCACCTAGGCTCATTCCTGGGGTGATGGAAGAGTGAGCAAGGTACGGGCAGCCAGCTAGCTCCTTCGGTCTGGGGCCCACCCCCTCTTCTGGGCTTCCCTTCCCAGAAGCACACTGTCAGGGTGTGTGTGTGTGTGTGTGTGTACGTACACACCCATGTGCAGGTTTAGGGAAGGGAGGTCTGGCGAAAACAAATGCCATCCTTTGGCCCTGTGGCTCTGGGAGTTCAGCTTTGTGCTAACTTCATTCCGATGAAATAAAGGATGTGGACTAGAGAGACTGGCCATCCCTTGAATGAGGAGTCAAGGTCATATCCTGGCTCAGTCACAGATTATTCAGGAGCCCTGAGCACCGCTGTTGCCCGGACTCTGTGCCCCCACCTATAAATATGGTTGCACAGATGGTGCCATTCTTTCCAGAGCTGAGTTCTGACATGTTTCAACCATCAAAGCTCATCAGTGCCTTGTCCTGGATGGAGGGAGACCCTTAGTGTGGGTCCCCTTTTCTCCCCAACTTTGGATGACATTCTATGGCCCTTTGCATGACCCCACCCATTCCCAGTAGCCCTCCTCCTTTAGGTGTCATCCACCCATCGGCTGGGGAGTGCTCTGTGGGCAGCGTGAACCCATGGTGGACCTCCTAACACCTCTCCCTTGTCTCTTTCATCTCCAGTCTCCACCAGCAGAGTGGGAATAAACTTTCCCAGCTAAGTTAGATGGATGGTCCCCATTAGCCCAGCGTGCCTTCCCCACCAACTTCCACTGATAAGGAGGTGCTGCTGTGTATAAGGGGAGGCTGGGGGCCAGAGCACTTGGGTGGGAGTTGGGGGTGCCCTGCCCCTGGAGCAGGAATGGTTCCCCCAGGGAAGAAACCCGCCGGAGAGGCCTCCAACTCCAACAAGAAGTGCAAGCGTTACTTCAACGAGCACTGGAAAGAGGAGTTTCCCTGGCTGGACTTCGACTACGAGCGGAAGCTGATGTTTTGCCTCGAGTGCCGCCAAGCCCTAGTGCGGAACAAGCACGGCAAAGCCGAGAACGCCTTCACTGTGGGCACAGACAACTTCCAGCGCCACGCCCTGCTGCGCCACGTGACCTCGGGGGCCCACCGCCAGGCTCTGGCCTTCAACCGGGGCCAGCCCACTTTGGAGGGCCAAGCCGAGGGAGGAGGGGCCTACCTGGACCTGGAGACCCCCCCCACCTCCAGGGGCATCAAGGCAGAGGTGGACCCAGCCAAAGTGGCCATGCTGACCACGGTGTACTGCATGGCTAAGGAGGACGTGCCCGATGACCGCTGCTCTGCCCTGCTCGAGCTGCAGAGGTTCAACCTGTGCCAGGCCCTGCTGGGCACAGAGCACAGCGACTGCTACAGCCCCAGGAGGGTGAGGGACATGCAGGTGGGTGGCAGCCAGAGGTGTGGGGGAGGGCGTAAGGAGGGAGGACATCGAGCTGTCTGGGCAGAGCGCCAGCATGCCCGGCCCCCGGGCAGCAGCCCGAGAGCTTCATTCATGCCTTCACCCAGCAGAATCTTTCACTGAGGTGTGCTCTGGGCCAGGCCCTGGGCCAGCAGTTGGGGGCATGGCCACAAAGAGGCCAGAGCTGGCCCTGTCCCCAGGGAGGGGCACGGGGCTTTCCCTGAGGGCTGAGGCCAGAGGTTGCAAGCTGGGTAGTCTGGGGGCTTGACTGGCCCACAGACATATTTTTTTGACTTTCACAGTGTTTTTGGAAAACCTCAATTAGTTTCCAAGTTAACAAACAAACAAAAAAACCCAGAGAGATTACATATAAAAATGTGAATTTGTGACTTCTGAAAAGCTAGGTCCCTGTGCTCTCAGGGCATGAAGACTAGACCCATGGCTTCTCCATTCCCTTTGTTGTATCCCTGGCCCAGGTCAAGCCCAGTACCACCCACAAGGCCTCTTGGGCATGCAAGTTGCTGCTCTGTCCTAGGCACCAGGTGTGTGAGTCCTAGAGACTGGTGTGAGAGTGCGGGAGTTAGGTCTCATCCTGCAGAGAGATGACAGAGCACACAGTTGGGGCTCTATGTAACTGGGAGGGAACAAAGTCTATCAGTTAATCCCTGAGCAGCAGAGTGGAGGGATACCCCCAGGAATAAGGCCTGGGGCAATGCTGTAGAAACGCACACAGAACGCTACAGAATTTTTATGGTTCCTCAAGCATTTTTACACTTACAAGCGTAGCCACAAAAATATACATTTTTAATTGTCAACAACCTTTTTTTAAAAAAGATTTTATTTATTTATTTGACAGAGATCATAAGTAGGCAGAGAGGCAGGCAGAGAGAGTGGGAAGCAGGCTCCCTGCTAAGCAGAGAGCCCGATGTGGGGCTCGGTCCCAGGACCCTGGGATCGTGACCTGAGCCAAAGGCAGAGGCTTTAACCCACTGAGCCACCCAGGTGCCCCTGACAACAACCTTTCAAGGAGCTGAGAGGCAGGTAGTAGCCTGATTTCAGAGCTGAGGAAACTGAGGCTTGGAGAGGTGAAATGACTTGCCCAAGGTCACACAGCCAGTAATCAGCCAAGCCAGGATAGGTTTGTTGGTCTGTCCCCGACGCCTGTCCCTTTTCTGTCTTCTGTACTGCTACCTCCCCTGCTCAGGACAAGCCTAACTCTGTCCCTCCCTTTCTCTCCCTGGCTGTCCCAGGTGGCCATTGCCAGTGTCTTGCACACAGAGGCCTGCCAGCGCCTGAAGGCATCCCCGTATGTGGGGCTGGTGTTGGATGAGACCAGGGACTGGCCTGAGTCCCACAGTCTGGCCTTGTTTGCCACTTCAGTGTCCCCCTGTGATGGCCAGCCGGCTACCACCTTCCTGGGCAGTGTGGAACTACAGGAGGGTGAGGCCACTGCTGGCCAACTCCTGGACATCCTGCAGGCCTTCGGCGTGTCTGCACCCAAGCTGGCCTGGCTCAGCTCGAGCCTCCCCGGGGACCGCCTTGGGCATGTGGGCCCACAACTCCGCGCTGCCTGCCCACTGCTCACGGAGCTACACTGCCTCCCTGGCCGGACAGATCCCGAGCCCCCTGCCTACCTAAGTGAATATGAAAACGTGCTGGATGCCCTATTCCGCCTCCATGGTGGCCCCAGTTCCCGCACGGTCCCCGAGCTCCGGGCGGCCCTGGACCTGGCAGATATTGACTTGGCAGGACCACGGCCAGTGCCCTGGGCGTCCTTGCTGCCTATCGTGGAAGCAGTGGCTGAGGCTTGGCCTTGCCTGGTGCCCACCCTGGAGGCCTCTGCCCCCGCCTCCCCTACAACTAGGGCACTGGCCCTCGCGCTGCGCCAGTTCACCTTTGTGGCCTTCACCCATCTGCTGCTGGACACTCTGCCCACCGTGCAGAAGCTCGCCCTTGTCCTGCAGCCAGAAGAGCCGGACTTGGCCTTGCTGCAGCCCCTGGTGATGGCGGCTGCGGCCTCCCTCCAAGCACAGCGCAGCTCGGGTGGGGCGCGCCTCCAGGGCTTCCTGCAGGAGTTGGCTTCCTCGGGCCCCAACTTGGGCGGCGGGCGCTGCACCTACCGCGGCGTGGAGCTGGTCGGCTACTCCGAGGCTGCCGTGCGGGGCTTGGAACGGCTGCGGGGGGCCTTCCTGGACTCCATGCGGAGGGGGCTGGGGGACTCCTATCCCGGGCCCTCGCTGGACGCCGTGGCCGCCTTCGCAGCGATCTTCGACCCGCGCGGCTACCCGGAGGCCCCCGAAGAGCTGGGCGCGCACGGCGAGGGAGCGCTGCGGGTACTGCTGCGCACCTTCGCTCCCGCCGTGGTGCGCCAGCGGGCGCTGGGAGATTTCGCTCTCTTCAAGCGCGTGGTGTGCAGCCTGGGGCGGCTGGGCCCGCGGGCCCTGTGTGCCAAGCTGGCGTGCGCGCGCTCTGAGCTGCACGAGCTCTTCCCGGACTTCGCAGCCCTGGCCGCCCTGGCCTTGGCGCTGCCCGCGGGCGCCGGCCTCCTGGACAAGGTGGGCCGCAGCCGGGAGCTGCGGTGGTGGGGGCAGGGCGGGGCTGGGGAGGGCCGGGGCGGCCCCGCGGTGAAGATCGCCGTGGATGGGCCACCGCTGCACGAGTTTGACTTTGCGCTGGCCGTGGAGTTCTTGGAGAGTGGGTGGGCGGAAGGGCTCCTGGGGTCGCAGCTCACATGAGGGCGGCCGCCTTCTCTCTGCCCTGCCAGCCTGGGGTCCGCGCTCTAAGGCCCGGAGGCGGATTTGACCCGGCGGCAACTCAGCTGACCGCCTGTGGCCTCCCACCCACCTGCCCCGGGCTTCCTCTGCTGAGTACTAACCCTGCCCAGTAGGCTGTGGAGGAAGGGCTGCATTGAGGTGGGAGCTGGGAGAGCCTGCAGAGATGCTAGGTTTGGGGGCTCCCTCAATATTGCTCTGTCGTTGTCAGAGTTTGGTGAGGAGTAGCTCACCTTGTTCCCTCTGGACCCAGCACAGATTTGGGCCCTAGAAAAACTGAGGTGTCTTTGCTGGAGGGAGAGAGGAGGACTGGGTCTAAGGAATTGAGGGACTGAGGGAAAGGAGATGGGGGTCACGGCCTTTAGCTCCCCTCCTGGCAGCATCTCTTCTCTTCAGATAGAACTAGAAAGCAGATGACTTCCTTGTTTTTGACACACAGGACAGCACCGTCTCTGTGCACAAGCTACCAGTTCAAGGGAGGTAGTGGTGCCCATGGATAGGCTGCCTGAGGCTCTTCTGTATATGGCTGTGTATATAGACATATACCTCTATAAATGTAAAATAAACCTACCTTGCATATTGTTAACAAAAAAAAAAATCTAAAAGGACTTCTTACGGTTTTGCAGTGACAGGGTCCAGAAAAATCCCCATGGACTGGATTTATTTCTAATTCTTTTCTTTCTCAGAGTCTGGTTGATCCCCAGAGTTCCTAGCCTTCCCCTGCCCTTGCCTCAGACCTTTAAGACCAAAGACTGTAAAACCACAGGGCTGGACCGGCCCAACTCTGGCCTGACCCAGGGGTTGGAGCGCTTTTTGCCTCCCGGGAGGAGTTGGGGTCTCACCAGAGCTAGGGGAACACATCCCTTCAGATTCCAACAGATTTCCTGTCCTCTCTGTCAGTCCCTGCTGTGAATGATGTAGGGATCAGGAGAGGGGCAGTTAGTGAGAGGGGAGAGGGCTGGCCTTTCCCCAGGCCTCCCAGGTGTGGGTTTAACTTGCAATAAAAGGAAACCCGGTACAGCACATGGTCTCCGTGGTGGTGGTGGTGGTGGTGGTGGTGGTGGTGGTGTGTGTGTGTGTGTGTTTGTGGACTCCTCTGTCCCCTCCCTTGGCCTGGCTCTCTGCTGGGGTCCATTGAGGGTCCATTGGGGGTCTTCGGGGCTGCCTCTGGAGGGGATGGGAAGTGCATCCTAGGGGGCTGGGAGCTGAGAACTCTGGTCTCCCTGCTCCTTCCCCCCACCCCCATTGTGTAGAGAAGAGGCACAGAAGTGGACTGGGAGTGCCCAGGGCTTACCCAGTGCTGCTCTGTGAAGAGGAAGACAGTTTCTGCCCCGGCCCCACACCCAAGAAGCCCATCAACCTCTTGTTCTGGCCGTGGAGGTCGCTGTGAGCCCTGGGGCTCCCCATTTCAGACCCTGCCCTTCTTCCTCCCGCAGCAGGCCCAGCCTCCAGTGCCCCCAGCCCCCTGCTGGCCTCCCTGCCCCTGCCTGCCAGGCCTCTGCAGCCCCCGCTGGACTTCAAGCACTTGCTCGCCTTCCACTTCAATGGCGCTGCCCCGCTCAGTCTCACCCCCAACTTCAGCACGGTACGGGCTGGGCTGGTGGGTGGGGGCATGCAGCCGAGTCCAGGGTGGGCAGGGAAGGTGGACACAGAGGGTTGGCTCTTAGAAATTGGGTATAAGTAGGAGCAACATCCCCAAGAGTGACTAGGCACTCCCAAAACAGGGACCCCTGGGTCCAACTTTCCCTGGGGACAAGGAGCGAGGATGGGGTCACCCCCTCCCCTGGTAATGATGCTGGGCCTGTGGCCCGGAGGTCACACTTTGAATTTTTGTAGAGGGACGTCTGTGGATGATCTGTGTATGTCTGTGTGCATTGGGGGTGTGCCCTTCTGTTTTAATTTATGTCTCTGTGGGTCTTTGTGTGTTACTTGTGGTTGTGGATGTGTTGGAATATGTGTGTATTTGTAAACAATTCTTTGTGCCTTAATGACTGTATGGAATTAATGTATGTGCCTGTGTCTCTGAGAGATGTTTTGTGTCTTTGTGTCGACTCTGTAGATGTTTGGTGTGTGTCTGACCTCTTAGTGTGTGTGTGTGTGGGGGGGGTTGGGTGATTGTGTGTCTGTGAAGTGTGCCATTGGTACTCCTGTGGGTCTGAGTCTTTTTGCATGGCTGTGGGATTCGCACCTGCCTGTAGGCCTCTGTGCTCTGTGTCTGTGTATTTCCAAGTGTGTGTGTATGTGAATGACAAGTGCAGGGAACACGAATTTCACTTCGCTATAAGAAGTACCCCCCTTTCTTTAATTGTGAAACATCAAAGGTCACCATCAAGGAGCCCCAGCCCGTCCTAACAAGATGGTGGGAAATTCAGCCTCAGTCATCCTTAGGAGTCCCTTTCTCTCTAACCTCCAGGGTCACACAGAGGTCCACGGGAGCCTGAGCCATTTGGGGGGGTTTCTGTTCTTTGGGTCCCTCTGTCACTTGCTGAGGCACCATGCGCCCAGTCCCTTGGGAGCGGGTATATCTTCTCTTGCCTGCACCTCTGGGACACTGTAGGCCATGCTCCTGGCCCCTGTCTGCCCCCAGCCCCAGGTGCTGTTAGGTGAGGGTTAGAACCTCATTCTGTTCCCTGGGGAGTTTCTGAACCCATGCTTTTCTCTCAAAGCCTCTGTTCTCTTCTCTCAGGAGGGTCTGGAAAGTTCCTCTTGATAAGCAAGCCCAGACAACTGCTTTTGGTCCAAAAAGCAGCCCCTGAGAAAAGAGAATACAAAGGCTTGGATTTATAGAAGGAAAAAAAAGTTAAAATAAGAAAGAGGGGGAATAAAAAAACCTACACAAATTAATATACCCCCCAAAAAAAAAAATCCTACAACTCAGGGAACCGTCTGGTCTCCACATGCTGCCACCTGCCCCTTCCCGGCCCCCCACCTGCCCTGGCCATGCCCTCACTCCCCCACTCAGGCCCTGTGACAGTGGCAGAGCTACATGCCTTCTCTCCCCCAGCCCACAGGCCCGGCACAAGGCTGGGTTATGGGAGAGGATTTCCAACAGAGAGACTCTTTGTCCTGTCCCTGCTTCTCCCTGCCCCCAACTCTGTCCCAATAGTTGTGATTCTTGTGAATAAGGAAAAAAAACCCAAACCAGAGACCAGAGGGGCAGCAAGAGATGCCAAGGTGATCACTGGGACATGGCAGTGTTTCTCCCTGGCCATCCCCCTCTCCCTTCATGCTGAAGCCCCTGCGAACAGATTAAGTCAGCCAGGGAGGAGACTGTTTCTTTTGTGTCTCCTATCCACAAGGATAGGAAAGTTCTTCCTATGTCTGGATGCCCGCCCTCCTCGATAGGCATTAGTTTTTGGCATTTTGTATTACCTCCCCTTCACAGCCGACCCCAGCATTGTTGTGCCCTCCCACCTTCTTCACAGATGGACCCGATCCAGAAAGCTGTCATCAGCCACACGTTTGGGGTCCCCTCCCCTCTGAAGAAGAAGCTCTTCATTTCCTGTAACATCTGTCACCTGAGGTTCAACTCATCGGTGAGAGGGAGTAGTGGAAACAGGCTGGGGAGGGGACTGGGCAGGGAGAGGGCTGGACACTGGGTGCCAGAGACTTTCCTGGAGGAATAGGTCTGGCAAAGGGACAGGGATCCATGTTTTCCGTCCCTGGGACAGAACAAGTCCCAGAAGACATGCTCCCAGTCCTTTACCCATCCTGTCCTCTTTCTCCAAATTCCTCTGCCTTATGTCTAATGGCCCTGGAGACTCCATTTTCCTCCGCTTTGCTTCTCTCCTGTGTTCTGGATCCTTCTGCAAGAGAAAAGACTGCCTTTTCCTGCTCTGGGTCCCAAGAGCTCCTATCAGTTCCTGGTCTGGAGCTGAGCTCTTAAAGCACAGGAGAATTGATGTGTTGAATATGTCCATTCCCATCATCTTAATTAGTTCTCTTGATACTTCGTGAGATGGAGAGAAGTGCTATTATCATCCCCACTTTTCACATGAGGAAACAACCTCAGAGAGGTTAAGTGACTTGCCTGAGGCCACACAGCTAGTGAGTAGCAGAGCTGGGATTTGAACCCAGGCCTGGCTGACCCCAAGGCCCACATACTTTCTACCATAGCCTACCCCCAGATGGTGCAGAAGCCTCATCCTGGCCTCCCAGGGAATATTTACCTTCTGTCTGGATGATTCTGGGGCTTGGGAGATCTGCTCTGGTGAAAGGGTCTAGGGAGGGGCCACAGGGGCCCGTCTTTCCTACACTTGGGAGCAATAAGTAGGGACCCCTGGTTGAAGGAGGAAGGACACCAACAGGCCAGATTCAGGAGCTCCCTCCAGGTTTTTGGGTTATATGAGTCTTGCAAGAGATCGACAGAAAGACTTCACTCTGAGGGAGGGACCATGTCTTCTCCATGCTGGGCCCCTGGCAAAGAGCAAATGCTCAAAAACGATTTGCTGAAAAAAATGAACATAGGGATGAATGTTCAGGGTGTACATACCCCAAGTATGAGAACTGCTCTATTTTCTCCATTTGTGCATTTATGAACTTGGTAACTAACATCTGTTGAGCACCTGCTGTATGTACTAGGCCCTTGTCATTCATGTGCTGTTTATTTTTATTTTTTTTCATTTTTAAAAAAGATTTTATTTATTTATTTGAGAGAGAGAGCAGGGGGAGGGGCAAAGGGAGGAAGGACCTCAAGCAGACTCTCGGCTGACCATGGAGCCCAACGGGGTGTTCCGTCTCACAACCCTGAGTTCATGACCTGAGCCAAAATCAGGAGTCAGCTGCTTAACCGGCTGAGCCACCCAGGCGCCTTTCATGTTCTTTTTAATTCCCACAACCCTGTGAGGTCAGTATTGTCACAAAGTTTACGAGTCAGCAAACTGAGGCTCAGAGAGGTGAGGCGACTTGCCCAGAGACGCACAGCTAACGAGTGGCTGAGGCAGAATTTGAAGCCAGAGGCTGTTTGCCTGGGGGCTCAGGTATGAGAAGGAATTCTGTAAACCTCAGGGCCACACGCGAGCTATGATGACAAGGACCGCTCTCTTGTCTGGCTGGGGCCCTGCCCCCTCTGACCCGCCCCCCCCCCCCCCCCCGCCTTGTGCCAGCTCATGGAGGGGGCATGCAGACTCAGCAAATAAATGGTGACCCCAAGCCCTCCACTCCCCAGAACCAAGCTGAAGCACATTACAAAGGCCACAAACACGCCAGAAAACTCAAGGCTGTTGAAGTTGCCAAGAGCAAGCAGAGGCCACAAACCCTGGCCCGGGATGGGGTGCTGGTGTCCCCAACCCCGACTCCAGCCAGTGGATCCCCCGGAGAGCCGCAGAGCAAAGGTCAGTTCTGAACTCTCTCTTTTTTTTTTTTTTTTTAAGATCTTATTTGTTTATTTGGCAGAGAGAGACACAGCAAGAGAGGAAACACAAGCAGGGGGAGTGGGAGAGGGAGAAGCAGGCTTCCCGCTGAGCAGGGAGCCGGATGCGGGATTCCATACCTGGGACCCTGGGATCATGACCTGAGCTGAAGACAGAAAATGACTGAATCACCCAGGCGCCCCCAATCCTGAACTCTCCTCCCTCCCTTCCCCACTCCCCAATCCAAATCTGATTTCTGGTGTGGCGTTGGGAGATTTCTGGTTATTATTTTTGCCAGTGTTGGGGTAGCCCATACATACAGAAAAAGGCACCCATCACAAGTGTTGTGAGCCTTCCCAGTCTGAATATACTGAGATCAAGAAACATGGCACCAGCACCCTGAAGCCCTCCTAGTCGTTCCCCTCCCACCCCCCACCCCCCCAGTCACTGCCTTGTTGTGTTAGCTTCCCAGGACTACCACAGTGAATGACCACACAGTGGGTGGCTGAAAAGAACAGACATTTATTTTCTCACCGTTCTGGAGATGAGAAGTTTGAAATCAAGGTGTCGACGGGGTTGGTTCCTTCGTGGGGGCTCAGATGGAGAATCCAACCCATGCTTCTCATCCAGCTTCTGGTGGTTGCTGGCCATGTTGGCATTCCTTGGCTTATAGATTCATCCCTCCAGTCTCTGCCTCTGTCTTCACATCACGTTCTCCCTGTGTCTCTGTGTCTTCACATGGTCTTGTTTTGTTTAAATTCAAGTTAGTTAACATACTGCATATTACTGATTTCTGGGTAGAATTTAGTGATTCATCGTTTGCATAGAACACCCAGTGCTCATTATATCACGTCGTCTGCTTAATGCCATCACCTAGTTACCCCATCCCCCCACCCTCTCCTCCAGCAGCCCTGTCTGTTTCCTAGGGGTAAGAGTCTCTTGTGGTTTGTCTCCCTCTCTGTTTTTATCCTATTTTATTTCCACATGGTCTTCTTTTAAGGACACCAGTCATTGGATTAGGGCCCACCCCGGTCCTATGATCTCATCTTAACTACTTACATCTGTGAAGACACTGGTTCCACATAAGATCACATTCTGAGGTTTCAGGCAGACGTGAATCTGGGGGCAACACTAGTCAACTACCTCCATCCCTCCCCTAAGTGATCTTGACTTTTCATGCCATTGATCAGTTGCCCTTGGTTTTGGTGAATCCTGTAGTACGGAGGTTTGGTGCCTGGCCTTTTCAGTGTTGCGTGTAGCTGTGTAGTGCTCTCTCATGTGACCATATGACTCTTTTTTTTTAAAGATTTTATTTATTTATTTGAGGGAGAATGAGTGAGAGAGAGCATGAGAGAGGAGAAGGTCAGAGGGAGAAACAGACTCCCCAAGGAGCTGGGAGCCCGATGCGGGACTCGATCCTGGAAGTCCGGGAGCATGACCTGAGCTGAAGGCAGTTGCTCAACCAACTGAGCCACCCAGGCGCCCAACTCTTTTTTTTTTTTTTAATCCACTCTCCTGTTGTGGACATTTGGATAATTTCCAGTTTTGTCTTTTTTTTTTTTTTTTAAAGATTCTATTTATTTGAGAGAAAGAGAAAGAGCATGAGCGAGGGGTAGGGGCAGAGGGACAGGGAGAAGCAGACTCCCCACTAAATGTGGAGCAGAATGCGGGGCTCGATCCCAGGATCCTGAGATCATGACCTGAACTGAAGGCAGATGCTCAACCAGCTGAGCCACTCGGGCGTCCTGGATAGTCTCCAGTTTTACGCTATTATGAATAGTGCTCTATGAATATCGCAGTGCACCTTTTTTGTGACTTCCAGTTATTTAACAGTTAGCTAATAACTCTAGGTTAGAGTATCAGGGCTGTGAGGGCTTTCTGAGACCCCTCTGTCCAACTTTATATTTTCAAATGGGAAGCTGAGCCCCAAAGAGGCCCAAGTTGGCCCAGTGAGTTAGTGGGAGAGTGGAGTCTGGATTTCACTGCTGCTCATTCCTACATCAGGGACCCTTCCCCTCTGCCATGCTACCCTTAATTTATCACTACTTAAAATCGTGGTCTCAAGATGATTCTTAACCGATGCCTTCTATCTCCCCAGCAGTTCCTGCGGCCCCTCCTCCTGGCCCCCAACTCCAGCCACCGCTGACTCCGGACCCCACACCCAGGGAGCTGGCCAACTCAGACCTCTTGGATGCTGCCTCCTCTTCCTCTTCTCCCTCTTGCCTACCCTGCTCCCCAGAGCCTGGGAGAGAGGCACCAGGGCCTGAGCCAGCAGCAGCTGCTGTGGGAAGCGGTGTGAGTGGGGAGAGCAGGATCGAGAAGGGGCGCCTCTATTGCCCCACGTGCAAGGTGACTGTGAACTCTGCCTCCCAGCTTCAGGCTCATAACACAGGTCAGTGCGCTGGAGTCTAGGAGAAGAGAGGGCAGGCAGACAGCCCTCCCCAGCAGCAGGCAGGCTGGAGTTTCTGGGCATTTTGCTCAAGGACTTGGTGACACAGGTGTTGTGTTCAGCTGTGATTGGGTGGACATTCTGGGTCCTCCAGCTGATGTGTGGGGCGGGAGAATTGGGAAGACCAGTCTCGGGCAGCACGAACTGAAGGATCCCTGGGAGGAGGCCGGAAACACCTCCTCCATCTGTCCTTAGGTCAGACCCAGACGGAAGGCAGGAGATGAGAGCAACGGGAAGCCAGGCAGTTCCGCTGCAAGAAGTCCTGGGGGTAGGGGGGTGGCTGGTGGAAACTACGGAAGCTGGGAGGACCTTGTGGGGGGGGGACGAGAACTCTCGGGTGGCTGAGGTGCGGGGAGCACTTGTGGGGAGCACTTGCGGAGCAGCCTGCAGGCTTGGCAGGGCAGCCAGACCGACCTAGTTCGGAGGGTTTCTCATGGCCCTTGCAGCCCCTATTTGGAGCTGATGGGCTGTCTTCCCTCCTCCCTCAGGAGCCAAGCACCGGTGGATGGTGGAAGGTCAACGAGGTGCTCCCCGAAGGGGCCGAGGCCGCCCAGTGCCCCGGGGAGCTGGACACAAGGCCAAGAGAGTGGCAGGGGGTCAGGGGGTCCGACAGGGGCCCAGCCCCCCTTTTCACTGTGCTCTGTGTCAGCTCCAGGTCAATTCAGAGACCCAACTCAAGCAGGTGGGAGAAGCGAGGCCGAGACTGGGGCTGGGGCTGGAGCAGGGCTGAGGGGGTGCGACTGGTGCTGGGTGCGGGGAGGGAGCCAGCGGAGGAAGAGGAGCTCAAGACTGGAGGGACCGTGGGATCCTGGTGGGCAAAGGCCAAATCTCACCTCCCCTTCCCAGGGTGACACTCCATAAATGTATGTCCGACGTGTGGCTCATGGGTGGAGGGTTAGCTTGTTGAGGATGATTGGGTAGTGTGTGTGTGTGGGGGGGTCCTTGGGCTTCCTTATCCTGTTGCCAGTCTGTCTGTCTGTCTGTTAGCACCTGAGCAGCAGGAGGCACAAAGACCGCCTGGCTGGGAAGCCCCCCAAGCCGTCCAGCCAGCACAGCAAGCTGCAGAAACGCGCGGCGCTGGCTGTGAGTATCCTCAAGGTATCTGTCTTCAGGCAACAGGGCTGGGGCCCGGGGCCTGCGGGGAGAGGGTGGGCCAGAAGGGCAAGCTGGGGACTAGGGTGGGGGGGGCAGGAAGGAAGCCACCCCCTCACACCCCCTACAAGGCTGCCTGGGGTGAGGGAATGCTGGGCTGGGGTTCCCGGCCATCTTGGGATCTGCCTGAGGAATTTCCGGCGAGGTGGGGCGAGATAGTAATCTCAGGGTCAAGAGCGAGGGTTTGGGCGTGCATCTCCTAGAGACCATCTCTGCCCCCACCCCCCACAGGCTCCTTCCTCTGGGCAGGAAGACAGGTGGTGGAGAAAGCCCTTTGGAATGAGTTTTTGGGGGTGGGAAGGGAGGACTTAGGTTTGGAACCCTAAAAGGCACGTCTTTCCTGCAGCAGAAAGCCCATCCTGGCACCCCGGGGGTGGGGGTGGGATTTTCCTGGGTCAGACTGTGTCCATTCCTCTCTCTCCTCTCTGCAGTCAAAACTGGCCTTGCAGAAGCAACTCACCAAGACGCTGGTGGCTCGCTTCCTGCCCAGCCCCATCCCCGCTGCGGCCGCAGCCATCTGTGCCCTGCCGGGGCCCCTGGCCCTCCGGCCTGCCTCCACAGCAGCTACCACCCTCTTCCCAGCTCCCATCCTGGGCCCAGCTCTGTTTCGTACCCCAGCAGGAGCCGTCCGCCCTGCCACGGGGCCCATCGTCTTCGCCCCCTACTAGGCTTCCTGGGGGAGCCAGGGCCCATTTTCCAGCAATTGCTGTCCCCTGCCTCCTCTTCCCGAGATGCGTTTCCTCCATCCCCCAGGAGATTGCCTTTTACAGCTGAGGGCTTCCTGTCCAATCTAGGAAGAGCTGGGCTAGTTTCAAGGGTACCTGCCCTTTACCCAGTTTGGATTAGGGAGTCCACTACTACCCTCCTGGCCCAAGGACCTTCCGTCCCCACCCTCCTTTTCCCGGCCTTCTCAGACTAGTGCTGGGTTCCCCTGCATTGCCCAGCCTAATTAATGGGGAGCAAACTGAGAAATCCCAAAGATCTATGCAAAATCCTAGCCCCAGCCCCATGGTGCTCTCGTCTCCCCCACTCAAGACCTATACCCCCATGGCCAGAGGCCCTAGGAATCTTAACTTTGAGCCTGGGGACAAGCCTGCGGGGGAGGCCGTCTCTTCACTGGATTCTCCAGGGAATCACTGGAAGTGGCAGATAGGGTCTCAAGCTGGAGAGGGTTCAAGGCCATCTGGACAAGGTGACCCTGGGGGAGTGGAAGAAGACTGTGGAGGAGAAAGGGAGCAGTGTTGAGTGGGGGGCAAAGCCAAGATGAGGCTGGGGCTGAAAGCTTTTGGGGTTCCTCTGCTCTGACAAGATGTGGCTAGGAGAGGGGTAGGTGAGGGTGATTTTCTGGCAGGGTCCAGTTTTAACAGAGGTGATCAACCCCACACAAGCTCTCTCCTCAGCCTTTTATCGGTTCCTTGTGAACCCCAGCTGGGTGGGGGGAGCACTAGGTCTCAGACTCCGAACCCAGCAAACACAACCCCTCCCACCTCAAGGCTCCCAAAGAGCCTTCCCCTCTAGCTCCTCACCCTAAACTGGTCCCTAACACTAAATCCAGCTTCCCCTCCTTCCAGCCAGCACCCAGCCCCCTCACTGTGAAGCTGAGCGTTGGGATCCAGGATGACATACTCTCAAGAACCATTTTTGTGCCGTCAAAGTCAATGTCACAACCTCCATCCCACCCCCAGCTCTGCTCCTTCACCCCACAATATGGGACTTTACCGGTCTCCACCCGTTATCTGTTCTTTTTTTTTTTTTTTAGATGTTTCCAATGGGAGGACAAGAAGGGGGGAGGGGAGGGAAACTTTTTGATAATAGTTGTGATTTTATTGTGTCCAATGCATCAATAAATGAATTCAAGCCCGAGTCTGTATATGCCCTACCTCAACTCGCCCAGCCTTGGGCGGGCTGCCCTACTCTTGGGGAGAAGAGGCGTGTACTAGAGGTCACTGGCTCCCGTGTCTCAGCTATGCTGGGTGTGCACACGAGGAGCATGACGTGGACACAGGAAGTTGTGGGTGACAAGTGTAACCACCCTTCCGAGTCCCAACAGATCTGTCAGCTCCTGAGAAGCTGCTACTGGTTTGCCTTGTTCTGTTCAGGCATCTGAGGTAAGGAGGGGCTGGAGGAGCACCTTGTCCAATCTTCACCATGGCAGCAGGCAGAGAAACACAAGTAATTTATAAATAGAAGTCCAGCTCTGAGCTGAAAACAACCACAGGAAGGGGTGAAGACCAGGCCCCACTGGTGTGAGGTCCGCGGACTGGACACTGGATGGCCGCGGCACTCCTGCCCCCTGGTGGTTGGGGGGAGCAGTGTCTCAGCCTCCAGGGCCAGGAGGCATAGCACCTTGAAGAGGGAGAAGCCAAGGGCACAGTAACGGCCAGCCCCAAGCCACAGGCATGATAAAATCTGAGGGCTGGAGAGGATCCAGAAGATCATCTAAGCATCTCCCATCACCTTACAGATGAGAAAACTGAAACCCAGAGAGGGGAAAGTCCTTGCAGGCTCCCAAAGCCAGCTGGTGAAGCCCAACCATCACTCCATCCCATCTCAGCCAACAGGGGCCATGAGCTCCCTGAGCAGGAAGAGGAAGCAAAACAACTGGGGAGGGGAAGAGTGAAAGCGGAAAATTACACCTCCCAGGAGGCTGGCTTCTTCCAGCCAGGGAGAGGATAGTCAGAGCTGGACTCCAGCAGGCACACGCATGCACACATCTACACACACATACGCCTTTCTCCAGAGTCCAGGCTGGTGCCGTAAGTGTGAGTGTGTGCGCATGTGTGTGTGCCTGTCCCTAGCAAGAAACCCACAGGTGAGGGGACCCCGTGACTGGAACCAGAGCCTGGACCAAGCACTTCTGCATGGCAGTTCTGCTTCCCACCCAGGGCACGTGGTAGGGGACACTGACCCACAACTGCCCCAGGTCACAGCAGCACAGGGATGATGAATGCTGGACAGGAGGGGGCTTGGGGTGGGGGGGACTAGCCTAGATTATCTGCACTTCCCCGAGCTGAGAGGGAGCGAAAGTGACTGAGCCTGGGAGAGCCCAGCTGCCTAGCCTGGGAAGGACAGCTTTGCCTAACCCCACCCCTAGACACATCTTCCAGAGTCCCAGCAGCTGGAATGAGGCTGGGAAGGTGGAGAAGGGATGGCGGCTCTTCAGCCATCCAAGGAGCCGCTGCCCTTGTTCTTGCGGCTGAGGGGAAAAGCAGACTTGCTCTGGGGCTGGGTCATCTTGCTGGCCAGGTAGACGAAGGGCTCCAGCAGGGAGCGGCGGTCGGCCACAGACACCTCCCACAGCTTCACCTTCTCGGACTTGGCCCAGTGCTGAGCCACATCTGGGTCGACACGCCGCTGCTCCTGCAGGTCACACTTGTTGCCCAGGACCACGATGGTGACCTTGGGAAGATGGACAGAGTAGAGACCTGAGGTTGTACAGTGGACCTCAGGCCTGGGTGTGACGGCAGACATCTACCTAGGAGTCCTAAGACGAGCAAAAGTCTCACTGGCTAATGTTTCACCTCTTCCTAGATCAGAAACAATGACTAGAGAGAGGGAGATGGTTGCTTTGTCCTCTCCTTCCTCCACTGAAATTCTGGCCTCATTTACCCTCCCTCCAGGAGTTCCCTTACAAGCCCTCTATCTCCTATACCTGCCCATTACAAGCAATCACTCTGTCTAAACACCTGGTAAGGGAGCATCCCCCAAATTCCTACAGCTTATAGGGGGATTCGGGAACAGAAGGGCCTTCACAGCTAAGAGCAAGGAAGCATCTTCAAGAAAGATTAGTGGGGGCTTCTAGGGTTAGGTCAGGAACCCCCGAAATTAAAGGAAAGCCTCTCTGGTCAAGCTGCCTCAGCACATGGCTGCCTCCAGGGGGAAGACCGCCTCCCGTGGTCTCCATCCATCCCCCATGTGGCTCCCACCCCACCTCCTGGGATACGAATGAAAATCAGAGCCATGCCAGGCTCCCCAAAGCCAGCCCAGGGTCCACTCCTGCTCATCACCAGTGTCCTCCACCCCTTCACACACCTCCTTCTTGTCCTTGGATTTGTCGATCTCCTTCTTGAGCAGCTCCACACGCTGAAAGGACTCTCGGCTGTCCGTGCTGTAGACCAGGACATAGCCGTCAGTGCAGGAGAAGCAGTGCCGGGGCAGCTCAGCCCCATCTCGGAGCCCCCGGGTGTCGTAGAAACGCACCTGCTCCCTCACACCCCGGTCGGTCTCAATGGAGCCCACGTAGATGTCTTCCTGGGTCTCAATCATCTCAGAACCTGTGATAAGATGAAGAGAAAAGTTGTTTGTAGAGAGAAGGCAGATGGAAAATATGAGGGACTGAGTATATCCTAACGAGCTTAACCAGCCCGAGAGAGAAGGGGATGGACAGTCCAGCAGGACTGGATGACTTGGGGGGGTGGGGAGCAGGAAACAGACATTAACCTCATGCTAATCCCATGCTAAGCAAAAGTGTGACTTGAGAACTTTTCCTCCCTGTCTCAAGTATTGGGTTTCCTCTCTTTGGATTTCAATATGCTAGGGTTGGGGTCATTATGCAGATTTTACTCTGTGGGGTGTAATAACCACTACCAGCAGCTTTTAGCCTTTTCGTGTTGTGATCAAATCCTACTTATTCTTCAACTTCTTCCACCATTCCCCCACCCCCAACAACACTCACCTACTACATGGTTCCCATACAGAAGCTGCTCCAGGATTGAAGTTTTGCCCACAGATGCCTGGCCACACACGACTACCTTGCAGCTCTTCCCCATGCTTAGCCTTCAACCTTGAAAAGCAGAAGCATACTTGGTGAGGTGGGATGAAAACAGGGTAGATCTCCCATAACCGAGAGCCCAGGATCTGCACAGAATACACGGCCTCAGGGATGGAGCAACGTCTGTCCCCTCCTAGGGTCAGGGTGTACTGGAATGATATGTCTATGTCCACTAATGGACAGTGAGCTATAATTTATTCATCTTTGTTATAAGCAGTACAGGGCCAGTAACTGGCTCAGGGCAGGTTGTCGGTAAATGCTGCCATAAAGGGAGAAGAGTCTCTGGTTTAAAGGAGCCACTGCCCAGGCTCCCTTCTGTGCACAGGATGTGGAAGACCAGTTGCTGAAGGGAGCGCTGGCTCAGCTTCCGGTCTTGAACCATGACTCCATGGAGAGATAAGCAGGAATGCTATTCCGTGTGGATCTGTCTCAAGCCACTCTTCCTAGGGAGAGTGAGCAAATAAGGAGAGTATTTTGCCTTCTTGTATGATTTACCTGGACAGCAACTAATTCTCTCTAATTCCCAGTCAAGTCAATGGCTAAGATGAACATCAGACAGGAAAGAAAAGAGTGAAAGAATCTAAGGGGAAAAGGCTTTGGAAAGGGGAAAATATGTGCTGCCCTTGGACTGACAAAGCAGAATGAGAAGGCTCAGACACAGAAACCCCTTCTCCGAAGAGGTCCCAGAGAGAGATCTCGTCGAAGGCATCCCAAACACAGGCTTCCAAGAAGGAACCCCCGACCAAGACTGCCCCAGAGAACAGATACAGATGTGTTCCCGAAAGATGTCCCAAACAGAGATCTGTCAAGTAAAATCCTGATACAGATCCTTCCTCCCGCCTGCGGGGCCCGCAACTAAGGGACACCCCCAAGAGAGACTGCCAGAGGGCTTCCGCCACAGATTTCCCCCCGAGGGAATCGGAGACAGAGGCCCGCCACCTAAGGGGGCGCGGACGCAGTGGCCTCCCGGCTCCGTACCTCCCGG